TGTAATTGCCTGAATGTGGCAATGGAGTAAGTGGTTCAATAACAGCTTACAGCAGTTGTAGCACTAGAGAATCCCTAGTAGAGGACAGAATGGATTTTTAACTCTGAGCTTGTTATACAGCGCTCCAAAGGAAATCTGCTAGCAATAGTGCCTCAGGTGCCAGAGGATACTGATTTATTCTTGTGTATTACATTATCTTTTTAGTTTTGAACATGAATGCTCTTCGTGAATTTAGTCTTTTGGGCAATTGGCCATGTCTGCATTCAGCATATTTAATAATTCCACATCTGGCTTCTTTCTGAAAGATACTGTCCTCCCTACTTCATTTCTTCCAGATTTGTTTTTCTTGTAAGCCAAGGGTATCCTGGAGACAGGCTGACCCCTAGTTTGGTCTTCTCAAGACTTACGCAATTCCTGTCAGTAAAAAGACACTTACTGTTAAACTCTCTCTCTTATCCTAGTTCCATCTACTCTCACAGACATGCTTGCTGTAGGTATCTGAGATTTAGGGGTGTGATCAGAACTTCTCATTACCAGACAGTGTAGTTAGGCCATCCTTCCCCTCCCTGCCCAAATCCTTTTTTCTGCATTGTACTCTTTCTGATAAGGATCTCTCTCTCCCCACTTTAGGCCTCTATCATGGCGTTTATTCCCACTACTACTTGGTCTCTTACTTTCCTTGAGCTTGCCTGGAATTTGGCTTCTTGCTTTCCATCTTTTTGGATCAACAGCAAATATCCAGCTTCCCCAAGATGCTGCAGCCAATTCTGCGGGCTCTCCAAGAACCCGCATTGACAACCCTTCAATAACTCAGAGCAAGGAGCGTACTGGATTCGTTATTTTGGTCCTGGAGTTGCACAAGTTATTCTCAAAAATATGGAGAGAGAGAGAGAGAACAGCCACCACCACCATTGCTCCTTGTTGCCATTCAGGGCTTGGCTTGCTAAAAGCCAAATATCCATAGGTGGGTGTTGATTCCAAATCCCTTATAGTCTTTCCCAAAACAGGACCGTGACTCAACTCCAGCATTTGGCCTCTGCTGGCTTGTTGCATAAAAGATTATTGCCCCAAGAAAAAGGAGTGTCTGAAAAGATCATAAGTGCTCTCTTCAACTCTTGGAACCCTGTTGATCAGAGTTCCCTCTAAGGTGTGGGCACACATGAAAAATTTGAGTTCCACTCACTTCCTTAGCAGAGTAGCAGCCACAGTTCCAGCTGCTCCTAGGGGCAGGGCCATGTGGCGGGTGGCTGCCCTGCCCCAGGAACAGCTGGGTCACATCCTGGAAGTTGGAGGCTGGCCCGTGGTACTAAAAATAGCATCATGGCCCCAACTGTCCTATCAGCTGCCACACAGCCATAGCTGCTCCCACAGGTGGGGCCGCATGCTGGGTGGCTGCCCCATGTTCCGGGACTGTGGCTGGGGCTATGGTGTAGCTGTTCCTGTGCCACAGCAGGGGTGCTAAAAATAGCACCATGGCCCTACCCCAGTGCAGCTATCACATTTCCCAGCCATCACATGGGAGTTCCACGCTGTAGCAGGTCTGCTGGGGAGAGTCCCTGGTGGCAGAGGGGGTCAGCTTGGTGGGGGCGATGATCTGGTGGCTAGGGGCTGCTCTGGCAGCCCAGGCTGCCTGGTGGGGGGGCACCCCCTGTGCTGCAGCTGGAGCCAGGCTGCGGTGAGTCTGTGCACATGACATTAATATTGGTGCACAAGGCACAACTCACTCCACTCATGGATGGAAAGTCTGAGAGGGAACACTACTCTTGATCCCATGAAGAGTTTGAAAGACATCCTGAATTTGCTGCGTGCCCAGAGAAAATTCAGCTTTGGGTGTAATCAGAATGACCTCTTGCATTTCCTCTGGAGGGATTCTATGAGGGCTGAGTCTGTGGCAGTGCAGGCTTCCAGGTTTGGTTTCAGAGTGGGGTTTCCATAATTCTCTCTCAAGGCTCAAATCTCCTGCAAGATACATTCTCTTAGCCTGGAATTTTAACCTAGTTTTAATAACATTATTGGAACCAGTTCCTTGAGCCTGTTGGCACATACCTGATTATTCTGTCAACTCTTCAGGGCCTGCTTGCTTGCTTACTGTTTCAGCAAGGAGAGTCGGTGAGCTAACAGTCGTAACTTACCTCTCTCTTGCAGTTGTCTTCCAGCTTTATGATGGTTTCCCAAACTGAAACACCCTCCAGTAACAGGCCTGTCACCCAGTTTTATTGAAGTGAAAAGTGGTTCTGTTCTGGTTTTTCTGTTGGGTAGAGGAACAGTTTCACGGCCTGGAGGTCAAAAGGCCTGCAATGACTCATCAGTCTTCCCGCATTTAGTCTTAAGAAACCTTAGCTGTGTGTGTAAATAAAGATCTCAGGCCCGAACGCAGGAATTTCTGTGCGGGGCTCTTTTTTGTTAATGTGGACTGCAAAGGGTGTGAATCCCTCTCCCCCCACCCAAATAAGTTTGCTCTGGCCGCAGGAAGACAGGAGCAACATGCTGCCAAAGCCTCCCCACCCCATGCTCTGGCTGGCCTGGGGAAGGCTGGGACTGATTTTCCCTCCTACCTCTCTCAGGAGCGAGCCCCAGCCCTGGCCTTGCTCCTAGGAGAGGGGGGAGAAATCAGCCCCAGCCTTCCCCCTAGTGGCCGGAGCATGAGGGAGGAAGGCTTGAGCAGATCAAGCTTACTGGGGAACCATGGGGGGTGGGTTTGCACCCTTCACCCCCACACCCCACTTAGAGGCCTGGATCTCCATATTTATCCAAGGCTCTACATGCTGATTTGAAAGAAATTGAATGAATTAAAATAGAGAGGATTATCAGAAGAAAAAGCGAGGGCACCCTCAAGTGAAGAAAAATTGCAGGCTTTTTTCTACATATGATTTTCATAAGCAAGAGCTGGATTTCTGTTACAGAAATAGGGTTAAGGAAAAATGGATTTCTCTGTTTTTCAGTTACTTTTCTTTGTTTGCTTTTGACTGCACTTGATATGTAGTCGGTTTTGCTGTTTCCTCTGTGTATAAATCAGTGTATGTTGTCTTATTAATGTAGGTTTTTCCAGATCAACAAGAATATTTTTAAAGGCAAATATGAGAATAAAACCACAAAAATGAACTAGCACTTATGGTTGTGGGGCATATTGGCACGGGTAGAACCTTGAAACATGTTTAAACTTATTTTTGAAGCTAAAGTGGTTTCCAGTGACTTTATAGCATCCCATTGAATATGATAAAACCCTGAGTTGCTTGCAACTAATCATCCCAAAATAATGTTTTTAACTCACTTCTTAAATTTTTACTAAATCAAGTCATTGCCTGGTTTCTGCTGTAGAAGAGGAACTTGAGAAACTTACTAAAAGGACCGGCTCTCATTATTTAATTTTTGTACTGAAGTAGCTTTGCCCCTTTATAGTGCTTCAGACCAATACAGAATCAGAAAAGAAATTCAGATTCTTTTGAGGCTACATAGAATGGTTAGGGGAGGGAGCGTTCTGGGGAAATTTTTGCAGTTCATGAAAACCTGAGGTGCAGCAATAAAAGCAAATTCTGAGAGAATTTGCAGGAAAGGCAGCTTGCAGTGTTGATAGTAAAAGAACAGTTTTGTGGTGAAAGCACAGAACTGGGAGACGGTCTGTGGCAACATCAGGAATAGATTCTGTATCTCAAGCTGGCTTTGCATCAGGCCCATTATCAACAGGAGATTTTCTTGTAATACCAATGGTCTTTGCAGCTGGGGTTTCCTCTTGTTGCTAAACAGGAACTGTGCTAGAAAGAAAGTGCTGTGCGTTCTGCAACACCCTTCTTCCCCAAGATCTGTAGACTCATTACTTCTCCGTTAATGTTTGTATGGTTTCTGAGTGAATGAAACTAGTCTGTGATATACAGGAGGCCCCCAACTTGCAACTGCCCAACACCTCCCGCCCCCCTCCCCCCGCACTGACAACCATTTTTGTAAGTGCGTAAGGGGCCGGAAACCCCTGACTTATGTCCTCAGCCCACATTTACAATGGTGCACGGCGCCTATTGTAAATGAGGGTTCGAGTAACAATGCCCCTGACTTGCGATGCTTCCCGTGGAACCAATCGCGTTGCAAGTTGGGGGCCTCCTGTAGAAACTTCAGCTGCCATACAAGCTGGTTTGGGGTGGTATTGAGGTCAGATGGTAGAAAAGGTGGTTTTAAAATTACATCTAATGGCACTTATTCCTGTAACATACATGCATGCTAGACACCCTATGCCCTAACAGTAATTATGTGTGTGAAGGGAGGGGAGAATAGACCCTTCAGTTTTATTTACATTTTGCTTGTTCAAATAAACTTCAGGGTAAGTCTTTTGCTTCATTTTGAGGGACCAGAAAAGATAGTCAATGAAAAACACTTTCTCTAAGGCTGCAGAAATCAACAAAAATGAATTCTCCCCACTTCAGTCTGCTACTAGTTAATAAAACTTGAAATATGAGCAGTTAGTGTTTTGGGGACCTGATTCATGTTTGCCTTTTAGTCACGTAGGGCCTAATGCCCAGGGCTCTGTGACAGCTACTGCTCAGTACACAGGCCGCCTCGTTTTCCTATGCAGTCTTTGCAAGCTGGTATCTGAGATTATGCTCGTACAAGGGGTGCAGTTCCCACTAAACTGACATAGAACACAGTGCGGATAAGGAACCACATTTTAAAGATAAACTTAATAGGACTATATGAGAGTGTTTTAACAGCTGGCATAATCGACTTCCTAACTGATGCAGCAAAGAAGACCTGTGATCTGATAGTAGAGAGTTGGCTTTGTAGAGAACTTAATAGCTGGCATGAAGTTTTAATCATGGTTTCCAAGCTCTGGCTGATGTAGGCTGAGCCTTATGTCTCATTTCAAATCTTCTGAGGAAAATGAGCATTCAAGGTGCTGTGTAAGAAAAGAAAGTTCCGTCTCTTACCCTTTGTGATGTAGGTTTTTGCTCAGTCTGACGCATCAAAGCAGGGAGAAACTTTGCTTAAATCTCCTTTCTGTCTTTGGCTTACAGAATGTAGATGTAGATCGCTCGAGAGAGGAAGCCTTGAGGACAGTACCTAATCACCTATAACTCCCGTGGACCATGACAACATCCCCTGCCTGCTAGAGAAGCACTAAGGAAATACCTCAGGTACATGAGACTGGAGAAGACATCCAAGGAGATCAAGCAATGTCAAATGCACACACTCCCCCTCTCTGTAAGGCTTTTAGAATGTGCTTCAATGACTTGTGGGAAAATCCATGTTTCTGGAGGATTTTTAATGCTGCAAGATGAAATGTGCAAGTCTGGAAATATTTATGGGAAACCCAGTGAAGTTGCTTATAATTTTCCTTCTGTGAATATGCAGTTTTTCAACTGTTTTTATTCTTCATCTGTGGATCATGCAAGATTGTTAATTGCTCTTGTCAGCTTACTGTCAAGTTTTAACTGAACTTTTTACTTGTTTCAGTAGTGGCTTTTCTAAGAGTACCTCTTATTTTTACTGTGAATGCCTGCCTAGAATGAGATGACTTTTTTAGTATGTATATATTCTTTTGAATATAATGTGAAATTCTGCATTTAATGCATTGGAAGCTCCATTTGATGTAAAACCACTTGATATGGGAGGCCCCAACGCAGTTTCTCAAGTACCCCTTTTTTCTTTCATCCTCCATCTGTGTTTTAGCATAGTTCAGGGGTTGTAAAGCACCCATGTGTGTGTATTTGGAAGTGGGGTTACTTTCCCCTTTGCCTAAAAATCTACTTGATATTATATTGACAGGGGGCTTTGCTATCACAGCAAGTTCCTTTATATTCTCTGTGCAAAATGGTATTTTTGTACCATTGTACCCTGTTGATTGTTATGGAAGGATGGTTTTAAGTACAGATAGCTGGCTTGTTAACAGTCCAAATTACTCTAGATAGCAATTATTAAAGGGTAAGATGGCAGATACCTTTCAGAATATCTCTACTGCCCAGGTTAAGCAAACTTTCCAGGAGAGGATACAACTTCCACATTCAGGGTGAAATATACTCCCATGTATTGGGCTCTCAAAAGATCCAATACATTTTACCCTAAAAATGTTTATCTATGAAGGAGCATTAAATCAATAGGGGAGAATGTTAAAATAGGATTTTAGCCTCCTGAGATTTGTATAAATACAAAAACCCTTGAGCGAATTTGGAAATTGATTTTTTTTTAAAGAATGTCATCTCTGTATTTTGATTTTAAAATCTTTGCACTTCAGTGAAATTGCAAGTGCATTTATGTCTGATGCTAAAAAGTGGTAGAATTTTCTATGCATGTCAAGGCCATACACTACCTTCTTCATTGTCTCAAGCCATTATATAGTGTCCATGTTGTGTTGGAGATAGAATTTAGCTGGCAATACAATAGGTATCTCCTAATAGTTAATGAAATTAAGAAAGCTGCCCATGAGTTATCAGAGTATCTCTTTGATAACTGTATTATCTGGGTGGTTAATCCAACCCTGGTATTTATCTGTTAATACATTTTAGCTGAATCTGTCTTGAGAATTGGGTTCTGCCAAGGTAGCTTTGCAGGCAAGGGCTAAATGGTACGGTTTTAAGCAGGGTTGGGGACACCAATATAATGCACTGCGGCTGTGATTTGTTTTCTTAAGGTAATCTTAGCAATATAGTCAATGTACTGGAAGTAAGCCATATTGCTAGAGTTCATTTCAGAAAATTAATGCCTTGGATATCAAAACCACTTGCTTAGAACCTTAGCATCAAAAGCTTTTTGTCTGTAATCCATACAACCAGTAATATGCATTGAAAAGTATATAATTTATTATATCTATTAATAGTTACTGTCTAAAGTTAGAGCACAAAGCACTACTAAGACATTTGTTGGTGCACAGCAAAATAAACCCTAAAGATGTTTGTGTTGAAGAGGGAAGAGATGCTGGAAGGCAGATTCCCTTCTGACCACCTATTAGTTAATAAATCAGAAAAACATCCCTATCCTTTAACTTGTCCTGTTTCCTCTGGACCTGGGCCACACAACATTAGGGGTTATTTATGTTTAATGATGGTAAATTGAGGAAACTTAGCTTTTATCCATAGTTATCTAAGAGCAAATTCCCAAGTATTTTTTCTTAATGTGCTTTGAAAAGCAGAGGTTTACCAAAATAGCATTTGGACTACTATAGTTTTGAGCCTGTTCTCTGTGTGTTTTTGGTCTCAGAACTTTCAGAGGTGCTGTTAAATTCTATATGGCTAAATGTTTTATGTATAGTAGATATTTTTATAGACTGCTTTTAAATATACAGTGATCAGAGCAGTTTCTCATTTGCAAGATGGCTGCATAGTAAAAAAATCATTGTGTAAAAGTATGAATAAATTGTATGTCAGTATTTAAAAATAAAAAGGAGAATCTGTAGCTGCCAATTCTGTTTTAATTTACAAATAATGTCATTGACTGCATCTGACCTGCCGAATTAGTAAAACACAAAAAGACTAGAATGTAAAAATAAGTAAATGATCACCTCCATCTCTCCTGCTAAAAAAATAATAATAGTGAGCTCTGGAAATACATTGTACAAGAATTGCTCATTACTATCTAAAAACTGTACACTTTCCCTTTGGTTTCACAAAAGTGAGTCATTATTCAGAGGGGTTAATTACTAAACATGGCTTACTATGTTTGTGTTACAGTTCTTAGATGATTTAAACTAACCTTTCTGACGTGGCTAGCTTTCAACTTAATCTTCTAGGCAAAATTAATCTTGTGTGACCTTTGAGCAAAGTAATAAAGATCAAATGCGAAAACTCAAGATGTTTGTGTTTCTTTCCTGGTCCCCTTAGACCAACTATGCTACAGGAGCATGAAGAGTTGTGTAATATCTCCTCAGGTCAACACGCTTTATGGGTTTGTCCACGTTGGAAGGCTGTGAAATACATTTCAGATGCATGAGAGTAAAGATGAGGAAGGATTAAGTTCTTCTTTGAGGAGTGTCCCTCTGGGTGCTCCACTCCAGGAATCTAAGCACTCCTCTAGTCAGAGATTTGTGGTAGTGCTGCACTCAGTAGGCTGTGCATGTGAAGCAGATGACTCGCACCATTCCAAGCAGCTGTCGTGCATGCGCAGCCACCTGTCCCCTCAGTGCCTTCTCTGTCACCTTTGGCTTTGGGTGGAACAAGAGAAGTGCCCTCAGAAAACTTTTCAGTCCCTCTTTTTGCCTACAGTTACCCTTTTTATTATTTTGCCGCCTTTTCTCCTCACCCATTTTGGCGGTCATTGGCTGGCCTCATGGCCATGCCTGGATCCCCAAGCTTTAAGCATTGGTTAACCAGCAGGTTCTTATGTATGCTCAGTTTCTACTCAGACTCAACCTGGTTACCCTTGCTACTACAGTCCGTGCATTGGACAGGTGAGATTGGCTATCGACCCTCGAACTCTAGGACTTACCAACTTGCGACTGCTAGTTAAGGAAACTGCTTCTATCTCTTCACTCGACTGGGCCTGCAACTCAACCCTCAAAAATGCAACTTAACAGCTTGAATTTATAGGCACCCATCTCCACTATACCATGGGATCAGTAATCTTGCTTCAACACTCTGACGAATCTCATTCTGTAATACAAAGTAGTTCTCAAACAACTGCCAAACATGTGGTAGATGCCATGTTTGTCCAATATACTTGACTCCTTGAGACCCCGCTAGACTTGTCTCTGAACTGTACTCTCCAAAAACAAAGGCTATCCATGCCTTTCAGAATCAGACATCCTTGACTTGATGGACAAACCCAGACAATGTCTATACCAAAATCCTTTCAAATGCAGCCCTCCATCTTTAACAATAACTACAGATGCCTCACTCATGAGGTGGGGAGCCCAGTTCTCACAACACTTTGTTCAGGGTGAATGGTTACCCACAGAGTCTACGCTGCATATCAACCTCCTGGAGCTGCGAGTGGTCTGCAATGCATGCCATCACTTCCTGCTGCACATCCGCAGCAAGATCGTTCAGATTCTCATGGACAACCTTAGATGGTGTTTTAGATTGCCTGGGTCCGGTCCATATGATGAAGACATCATCTGCATTCCCTACAACACAGAAGACCTCATAGTAGACTATTTACTGGGCACAACGTGACCTGGTTTCCTTACCTCAGTTGCATTATCACCAAACCGCCATGGTCCTTGCCTCTGGTACCTTGCCTCCTCACGCGGGATGCGGGTCATCTCTACCATCCACACATTCAGATACTGCAGCTCAAGGCAAGGCTGTTCTCTGGCTAATGCCTGCTCTATTGAAGTCCCGGAGGTTCTGCTCAACAGCCGTCAACCATCTACACAGATAACCTACACGCATAAGTGGTAGCATTTCTGTACATGGTGTCAAATCTGTCATGTTTCCTCATGAATAGTTCCACTCCCCACGATCCTGGACTAGATGCTGTCCCTTAAGCTCTCAGGCCTCTCCCTCAGCTCTCTCCGAGACCGTCTTTCTGCAATAGCCACCATCCACACCACTATTGATGGGTTTAGTATATTTGTTCACCCAATCATGAAATGATTTCTCGGGGGTATATACAGAACTCCTGACCTACCTCACATCCGAGAGCCTATACAGAACTCCTGACCTACTTCACATCCGAGAGCCTATCCAGAACTCCTGACCTACCCCACATCCGGGAGCCTACCCCCATGTGGGGCCTCAACCTAGTCATCTGCACCCTCATGGGCAAACCCTGTGAGCCCTTTGCCACTTGCTCGCTTTTGCACTTGTCTATGAAACTTGCATTTTAGTTGCAATCACTTCAGCTAGAGGAGTGGGGAAATTGGGAGCCCTCATAGTAATCCCATGTCCATGTACAAAGAAAGTACATGACATTCTTCAAGTAGCTTTGTCCACACTCAAAATTAATACTAAAGTAGCCTCCTGTTTCTACTTTAACTGACCCATATACATACTTGTATTTTCCCCCTAAACTGCATGCAGACAATAGGGAAACAGCCTTGAATAGGGATGTTAAATATCAGTTAGTCGACTATTCTATAGTCCCTGGGGACGAGGCTGTTGCCCTGTGCTGCTGCCTCTGATAAAGAGGCAGCAGCGTGGGGTGGCAGCAGCTCCTGTGTAGGGGGTGTGTCTGAGCTCCTAGAACTGGTGCAAGCAGGAACTGAGCCAGACTGCCTGCATGCCTGGCTCCCAATATGTTTTAAATGAAGAGCCACAGTGGGGTAAGTCCCGGACCCGGCGCGAGCCAGGACTGAGTCAGGTTGGTGGCCAGCCTGCTGTTAAATTCACTGGCAAGGGAGAGGGGAGGGAAAATGCATGTAGTCTATAGCATTAACCTATAAGGTTAAAATCACTGGCAAGGGAGAGGGCAGGGAAATGCATGTAGTCTATAGCATTAACCTATAAGCTTTTGCTTATCGGTTAATCGACTATACCAGTGTTTCCCAATTTTATTTGGCCATGGAACCCTTTTCAGCTTTTCAGAATTTCAAGGAACCCCTAGGTTTATCAAGCCAAAAACCATCACTTGCTATTCCCAGCCCTTATACATTCTCACTGGGTTGAGACAGGAGGTGCGGGCTCTGGGGTGGGAATGAGGGATTTGGGTGTGGGAAGTGGTGAGAAGTGCAAGCTCTGGGAGAGAATGTGGATGCAGGAGAAGGGGATGCTGGCTCGGGGAGGAGGCTCCAGGCTGGGGACTGTTGGGCTCAGGTGGAAGGTTGAGGTGCCGAGCAAGTCACGGGCTTGTGGATGTGAGGGTGCAGGAGTTGGGTTGGATAAGTGAGGGACTCAAGGTAAGGAGACTGTGAGTATGATGGACTCAGGACACAGATTTGCAGTGTGTGTAAGGTGGAGGAATGTTGTGGCAGAAGACTTATTTGCAGTGTGGAGGGGATGCAGGAGTTTGGGGATGTAAGAGGCTCAGGACGGGGGTTCCAGTGTATGATAGGCTCAGGTTTGGGGTCAGGTGGTGCAGGAGTGTTATGATGCTGCAATGAAATGGGGATTTGGTCCCAATTGGGGGCTTGTTGGCCTGGCTTAATTTTTTAAATAAAATATTATTAAAACTCAAAAGGTTTTAGCATTGTCTTTATATGTGAGAGGGGTGAGGAACCTGTTTTGAGTCAAAGGTCACTGACCTGCAGAAAAGTCACACAAGTGAGATGGAAAAAAGAAATCCACGCCACATGCCCAAGCCTCACTAATGTGATCCCAACTGTGCTGGTGCAGGCTGGGCACAGGGTAGTGGGTGCTGGGGCTGGGGAGAGGGTGCTGCTGGGTGGCAGGATGCTTGCATAGGTGGCAGGGTGCTGGAGCAGGATGCTGGGGTCAGGGACATGGTCCTGCTGGGCACGGTGGTGGGTGGGTGGGTGCTGCGTTGGGTGGCAGACTGCTGGGACTCGGGACAGGGTGGTGCGGGGTGCTGGGGTGAGTGGCAGGGTGCTGGGGCCAGGGCCAAGGTTCTGGGGTAGGTGGCAGGGTGCTGGGACTGGTGACAGGGTGGTGCTGGGGCTGGGACAGGGTGCTGGGGATAGTGCTGGTTGGGGCAAGGGACAGGGCACTTGTGGGGGGTCTGGGCAGGGGACAGGGGCAGCCAGGATCAGTACCTGGCAATCCTGCAGCACCTCTGGGTCCTGGGAAGTGTATGACTGCACTTCCCCTCCCCAAACAGCTGGCATGCGCGTTGCCTGAGTGGCAGGGGCTCTTGCACTCCAGCAACTTAGCTTAAATGACTGCTGCTTGGAGCAGCTGGTACAGGAACCCACAAGGGGAGAGGCTCCTTGAAGTAGAAGAGATTGCTTGCCTGAGTGGTAACTGAGGTTCTTCTGAGATGGTTGCTCCCTATCGGTGCTTCCCCCCTCTCCTCCCTCCTCACTTTGGAGTATACTTGTCAATCCTCTGTGGCAGAGAAGGAACTGAGGGGGTGGTTGCATGCACATACGGGACAGCTGTTTCGAGCAGCATGAGCTGGCTGCCCTGCCTGCACAGCCTACTGAGGGTCCTGTTACGACAAATCTCCGATGAGGCCCAGAAGGGCAACCATCTTGAAGAACCTCAGTTACTGCATAAGGTGAGTCACTTTCTCTTCACTTCATTATCACCTACTTCATGGAGGTGAGGGACACGGGCTATATTACTTGTAGTATGTGGCAGAAGCTGAGATTTGCTCAGGTTGGCAAAAATCTTTTGCAGCTGCAAAGAAGCAGCCATAGTTTAGATTTAAAATAGAAGAGCTTATCAACATACACATGAAATTATGATTGTAAAGTGATGCTTTCTAAATTTCAATGAAAATTAACTGCTTTTGTCATTTTAAATGTTTAGAATTTGTGACCTTCTAAAATATAATTTTGGTTCCTTTTTTTCCTTAAAAAAAAAAAATTAATTTTCATCTACCTGATAATCATCAGTACCAGTAGCTGCAAATTAGTAAGTAAAAGGTTGTTCTGCTATAGCGTTTGGATTTAAATGGTCCATTTGTGCAAGTATAAGTAAGCTAGATGTAACAGTGTCAGTAATGCTTTTTCTATTTATGTTGCGGTATATGAGAATGCAAACCCAGCCGTCATTAATCTAGACTAGGGGTTCTCAGACGTGTTCATATCGGGAACCACAACTTACTGTGTTGTAGACAGCCTTGCCAGGCACACGGCCTTTTTGGAAAATGTTGATTGCTAGTAGCTTTAGTTCCCCTTAGTGTGATGACTTATCTACCACAGCAATTGCGATACCCTCTTCCTCCTCAAATGTAGCACCATGGTTTATTAAAAGTAACTCATTTCCAGTTGCCTTTTTTTCTAAACGGCCT